GGAGTTAAACTTAAGAAACTGACCAATCAAAATCGAATATTCTCTTAATACTAGACCGTGATTGGTCAATTTCTTAAGACTTACGCCTTAAAAACTAATTATAAACGCTACATTAAGCGTCGTCTACAATGAAATTTTAAGGAGACTTAAGTCGTAAGATTTAAGAAATGGACCAATTACAGTCAAATATTAAGAGAATATTCGATTGTGATCGGTCAATTTCTCAAGTCTTACGCCTTAAGTCTCCTTATAATCTCAGTGTAGACGACACTTCAAGAGTCGTCTACAACGGCCGTAGCATAAGATTGTAAGGCGTAAACCTCAGGAAATTGACCAATCACAGTCAAGTATGGCCGTGATCCGAAATTTCTGCCAGTTTACAGCCAACACTGAAAATATATAATATACGTAACGTTCACTATAGAATTTGCAGTACTGATAGTAATTTCGTAACGCGGCTTATGAAGGCAATGCTCGGCTGTGATTGGACAATTTCTTAAGGCTTAGAGCTTAAATTATCTGTTGTAAATCGGGATTAAAGATTCGTCTTCATGGCCGTAGCATAAGGTTGTAAGGCGTAAAACTCAAGAAATTGACCAATCACAGTCGAGTATTCTCTTAATATTTGTCTGTGATTGGTGAATTTCTTTAAACTTACGCCGTACAACCTAATGCTACGACCACTGTGAACGACCCTAAAGCATCGTCTACAACGGCAGTAGAATTAATGAATTAAAGCTGTAACTCCATAAATTGGGCAATCACAGTCGAGTATTCTTTTAATGCATGAATGTGATTGGTCAATTCCTTAAGTTACTGCTTTAATCCATTAATCATGCTCGTAACGGGGAGTGGCCGGTTTGGCCACGTTAATATTGACCACGGTCCCGATTGACCACCGTCCCGATTGACCACCGTCCCGATTGACCACGGTCCCGATTGACCACCGTCCCGATTGACCACGGTCCCGATTGACCACCGTCCCGATTGACCACGGTCCCGATTGACCACCGTCCCGATTGACCACGGTCCCGATTGACCACCGTCCCGATTGACCACCGTCCCGTTTGTCCACGGTCCCGATTGACCACCGTCCGAATTTCACGTGTTTGCAACAGGGAGAGGTGGGGTGTGGGGGCGGGGGGAGCGGGGTTTGCGGGTTGTGCAGCTGTGCGTGTATTTTGCAACGCAAACTGGGATTTCACATAGGTTTGTAAAACTGTCGCATCTCAATTATACCTCATGTGAATATTTAAATTATTTTTTAAAATATATTTTTATTATTATATTTATAACTAGTTATATTAATTTAATTATTTAATTTTTTTTGTGGTCAATCGGGATTGTGGTCAATCGGGACGGTGGTCAATCGGGATAGTGGTCAATCGGGACGGTGATCAATCGGGACGTGGTCAATAGCAACGTGGTCAATCGCAAGGTGATCAATTTCAACGTGGTCAATCGGTACGGTGGTCAATATTAACGTGACCAAACGGGTGCCACTACTCGCAACGTATCAAGTCCGTTCTCGACGGTTCATACGATGCGTGGCCGGGCAGTACCTACGAGAGGGCGGTCGGGCGGTACCTACGGCCTCCGCGCTGCTCGCGGCGCACCAAGTCCGTTCTCGGCGGTACCTACGACGCGTAGCCGGGTGGTACCTACGAGAGAGCGGTCGGGCGGCACCTACGGCCTCTTCGCGGTTCGCGACGCACCAAGTCCATTCTCAACGGTACCTACGACGCGTAGCCAGGCGGTACCTACGAGAGAGCGGTCGGGCAGCACCTACGTCCTCCGCGCGGCTCGCGACGCACCATGTCCGTTTTCGACGGTAACTACGACGCGTAGCCGGGCGGTATCTATGACGCGTGGCCAGGCGGTACCTACGAGAGTGCGGCGGTCGGGCGACACCTACGGCCTCCGCGCGATTCGCGACGCACCATGTCCGTTATCTGCGGTACTTATGACGCGTATCCAGGCGGTACCTACGAGAGAGCGGTCGGGCGGCACCTACGGCCTCCGCGCGGCTCGTGACGCACCAAGTCCATTCTCGGCGGTACCTACGACGCGTAGCCGTGCGGTACCTACGAGAGAGCGGTCGGTCGGCATCTACGGCCTCCGCGCAATTCGCAGATAGTGATAGCGGTAACCACGGGTAGCGGCGCGCTGTCCCTCCTCTCGCCGCGTGCCGGCAGGCAATGTCTGACACGGTGGGCCGTGCTATAGCTCGAGCGCTCGAGCGCTTCTCTCATTCGTCCGACTTCAATAATTAATATTGTTATTACAAAAATCGTTACATAGAATAGGATTATTTTATTTAATTTACTGCGTTCTAACATCTTACAAGTGAGTGAGCACACACTCAAGGACACCCTGCATATATATATATATATATATATATATATATATATACAGGATGCATATATATGTATACAGGATGTCCATATATATATGGACTGTGAATTAATTTTGAGGTAGTTTTTGTAAATTTAAGGCTTTATTGTGAAAAATGGTGTACATTATTATTTTTCAAAGTATTGTCCATCGCTAGCCACTGCTATTCATCTTTTGATGCAATCCACCAATCAATCCAATTTTTCGTATCTTCGTAAGATTGGAAGTGCTGCTTAGCCAGGCCATGTTCCACGGATCGGAACAAGTAGTAATCCGATAGAGCAATATCTAGTGAATATGGCGGGTAAGGTAAAACATCCCATTTCAGCGTTTCTAAGTATTTTTTGACTACACGAGCAACATGTGGTCGAGCGTTGTCATGTTGAGAAATTATTCTATCGTGCCTTTGCTCGAATTGCGGCCGTTTTTCCTTCAATGCGCGGCTCAAACGCATTGTGTTTGGTAGCGTTCACCAGTGATGGTTTCATTCGGTTGAAGCAGCTCATAGTACACAACACTAAGCTGGTTCCACCAAATACAGAGCATGTGCTTCGAATCATGAATATTCGGCCTTGCCATCGATGTTGATGCATGACCGGGCAAACCCCACGATTTTCTATGCTTAGGATTATGTTTAGCATATCCATTTTTCATGGCCAGTGATGATAAGATGCAAAAAACCCTTTCTATTTTGCCGTTGAAGCAATTGTTCGCACGTGAAAAACCGTCGTTCAACATCTCTCGACTTCAATTCGTATGGCATCCAATTTCCTCGCTTTTGAATCATACCGAGTGCATTTAAACGTTTGGAAACTGTTGTGCGATCAACATTCAACGATTCAGTAAGTTCATCTTGCGTTTGACATAAATCTTGGTCGAATAATGCTTCCAATTCTTCATCTTCGAACTTTTTCGGTTGACCAAGGCGTTCTTTGTCAACTGTATCGAAATCACCACTTCTAAAACGTCGAAACCAATATTCACACGTTTTTATCGATGGATTATGTTCACCGTAAGTTTCCAACAGCACTCGATGACTTTCAGCAGTACTTTCCTTTGAATTAAACAGAAAAATTAAAACTTCTCGCAAATGGTGTTTTGTTGGCTCGTAATTCGACATCTTCGGAGCTGAGAAAAAATATGTTGTTTACATTTCAGCAAAATGACATAATAAAAAGTAAAGCCTAATGACAGGGCTTTGACATGAATATAGTTACAGAAGTATCCGATGCGATATAGCATAAGTTACGTGATCTATTATAAGTCCCTCAAAATTAATTCACAGTCCTAGTATATATGTTAGGCTCAAAGACCGAAAATGCTCATTGGGCGGAAAAACCGGTCACAAAGCGTTCAGACATCTCAGATTCAGCCACAACGCGAAATTTGTGTCGTGGCACTTTTAAAAACGCTCATAACGCATTTTGGCATATTCAAAAAGACCACAAAGCGAAATTCGTGTTGAGGTTCTTTTGATAATCAACCAAAACGCGTTCTGGCAATGTAAAAATGCCACAACGCGTTGTGGACACCTATTGATGCAGCCATGACGCGATATAAGACAAATGCAATCTATTAACGGCCGACGGATTCATGTACATTCTTGTTCGTCATTTTATTTAGTATTGCTAGAGTGTGGACGTCGTTGGTTTGCGTGCTAATCATGTCTGATAAAAAGAAAATTTTTTATGATAAATTGAGTGAGTTGAAGAAAACAAGTACTGTTCGGAGTGTTTTTATCGATAACGAGCGGTACGAAATATCTACTTCAAGAAGTAAAAGAAGCTCAGTTACTTCGAAAAAATAAGTAATCGCTATCGTCAAAGCAGTATCGTCGTATAAAGCGATACGACATCTTAAAACTTGATGATACTGAAAATTGATTGAAAGTGGTTCTGAAGGCATAGATGATTCTAAAATTCGCTATTTCTGTAAAACGGATGAGCTATTTGATGTATTGGAGGCAGCACATCTCAACGTGGGACATAAAAGAAAAAGAGGTAGGTACATTTTTGAAATTTGACTAGATTTGATACATATTTACGTTATATTACGAATTCCAAGATGTTTTCGGTACAAGATTGATATCGCGAAGTATAGTTAGACATGTTAGGTATGATAGTAGTTAATAAAGTTTTTAGTTTCATAGTCAATAAATAATTAATAATTTGTGTTTGTCTAATATTTTTCTACATTATTTTTATTTATGTTTCAGTTATGGAAGCTGAACTAAAAAAGAAATATTGTAATGTTACTCGTCAAATAATAAATCTTTTTCTGTCTTTGTGTGAACAGTCAATTGAAGAAAAAGATACCAAAACATGGATTAGTTATACAACTTATTTTATCTGACTACATGAACTCTCGATGTCAACTGGACTTGATTGACATGCAGAGCCAGATAAAGATTATCGATTCATTATGAATTATCAAGATCATTTAACCAAATTCACAATTCTTCGTCCTCTTAAGACGAAGACTGCCGAGGAAGTGACCTACCAACTCATAGACATATTTTGTTTATTCGGTGCCCTATGTATACTTCAAAGCGACAATGGTCGTGAATTCGTAAATAAAATAATTAAAAGGCCGATATGTAGCCTGGAATGAAGCTTGTTAATGGTAAACCGCGACATTCTCAGAGTCAGGGTTCAGTTGAAAGGTCGAACCAAGATATTTGTGACATGCTGGTAGCGTGGATGGCTGACAATAATACGGAAAAATGGTCTGAAGGACTCCGATTTACTCAAAGTAAGAAGAATCGAGCTCTCCATTCGGTAATTAAGACAAGTCCTTATGAGGCTATGTTTGGATCAGCGCAAAAGATCGGACTTGCGGATTCCTCTCTTTCCAGTGACATGTATTCTTCTATAGAAACTGAAGAAGAATTGGAACAACTTCTTTCTTCGGTAAAGAACAATGATCAAGATAAGACTGATGAAGAAGAAGTTAACGAACAATCTAGTGAAGATAAAAATATACCTCAAGCTGGAGAGGTTACACAAGAATAAAAAAAAAGATGACAGCAAAATTTATTGTGTGATTTGTGAAAACGAAACTTCAGGAGCTTACAAGTGTTCAGGATGTCATTTAATATATTTACGTTATTTGCGGAGAAAGTGATGAGAATAATGAGGGTTTCGGACAGAATGTTACTTGCAAGCTCTGTATAAGGAAGAACAGAAAACAGCGTTGAGAGAGAATGTGCTAAATCTGGTCAAAATTTCCTAAAGTTGAATTGTATTCGAACTAGTGTAGCGGTCAGAGTGCCTGACGTTGATAAAGGACGCGCAGCTCCCAGAAATGTCTTAGCTGTTGTTGCCGGAATTAATTCATCAGGGCTTTATCAATTAGGTACCAAAGAAGGGCTCCTTGAGCGATTTTATGCTCGCAATGAATTTATAGTTGCTGAGAGCAACTTTATTGAACTGCAAGACGTACTTCACTAACTCTTCGTTCAGCTTCTATGTTGTCATCTGGAAGTAAGCAAGGTTTTATAAGCTGCCACTGTAAAAGATACTGCATTGACAAAAAATGCAAATGTCTCTCTAAAAATATAAAGTTCAATTCCAAATGTCAGTAATAGTTCTTGCAAAAATAAATAATTTATTAATAATTCTCACAAAGGGACCAATATATATTATGAACAATGTTTATTATTAGAAAAATACTAATTAATGAAGATTTCTATTACAAAATCTTCTTTGATTAAAAAAGCCATAGTATTAATAAAGATAACTGTATTTTCTTTTACAATTCTCAGTCAAAAAGACAATTTATTTCATTTTAATTGAATTAACGTCAATTGTTATAACAAAATAACGTCAATTATTTTATTTTATGAATCCTTGATACTTACGTATGAAAAAAAGTATTATTTTAGTCAAACAAAAAAATTTATTTGTAAATGATTTTGTCAATTGATGGCAAATTTGTTTTTAATAAAAGAACTCTCACAAAGAGAGCAACTCTAAACAGTATTTTATATTATTATTAATAAAAAATACTGATGAATGAAAACTTCTATCACAGAAACTTAATTGTTTTAAATTGTAAGAGCTATAGGATTAATAAGGCTAACTGTTAATTTTCTTTATAAATTTTTTCTTTATAATTTTATTTTTATTGCATTATTGCTGTGTCAATAAACGTCAAATTTCAAAGATTTAACTACCTTTTGTCCTTTTATGTCCCGCGTTGAGATGTGCTGCCTCCAATACATCAAATAGCTCATCTGCCTTACAGAAATAGCGAATTTTAGAATCATCCATACCTTTAGAACCACAATCAGTTTTTCAGTATCACCAAGTTTTAAGATGTCGTATCGCTTTATACGACAATACTGCTTTGATGATACCGATTGCTTATTTTTTCGAAGTAACTGAGCTTCTTTTACTTTTTGAAGTAATATTTCGTACCACATAATTAGCACGCAAACCAACAACGTCCACACTCTAGCAATACTCTAAATGAAATAACGAACAAGAATGTGCATGAATCCGTCGGCCGTTGATAGATTGTATTTGTCTTACATCGCGTCATGGCTGCATCAATAAGCGTCCACAACGCGTTGTGGCATTTTTACATTGCCAGAACGCGTTTTGGTCGATTATTAAAAGAACCTCAACACGAATTTCGCTTTGTGGCCTTTTTGAATATGCCTAAACGTGTTATGAGCGTTTTGGAAAGTGCCTCCACGCAAATTTCGCGTTGTGGCTGAATCTGAGAAGTCAAAACGCGTTCTGATCGGTTTTTCCGTTCAATGAGCGTTTTCGGTCTTTGAGCCTAACATATATACAAGGTGTTTCAAACCACCCGTACCACCCACTTGAAAACTAGAGAAGTGATTATTTAAAAAAAGTAAAAACATTTTCTTTATAAATCGGGTGCGCTCTATCGAATGGTGATATTTTCAACTTCTTGAAATTGAAAAACAATTTGAATTAACAATTCCATATTTTTTCTTAAAAACAACTGTATGTTTTCTTTATACCAATTGATTCCGCTCATTATTTTGTACATAAAAGTATTAAGGTAAGATAATCGAAAAATGAATATTTTACAAGATATTTTATGATTTATGTAAAATTAAGAATGATTTTAAGTCTCATAACTCTAAAAGCACTTCATGGAAAAATAATTTATTAGTGTTTTGGAAAGCTCTGAATGTAAGGCTACAAGAATATGCAATGAAAAAGAGGGGGTTCCATTTAAAAAAAATGCACTTCCGGTCTGAATCGCCTATTTACGGCCGGAACCAGAAGTTGAAAATATCACTATTCGATAGAGCGCACTCGATTTATAAAGAAAATGTTTTCACTTTTTTTAAATAACCACTTCTCTAGTTTTTAAATGGGTGGTACGAGTGGTCTGAAACACTCTGTATATATATATATATATATATATATATATATATATATATACACATATTTCTTTTTAATATTTAATATTGATTATTAATATTTTTATTATAAAACAATTAAAGAAATAGGCTAGAAAGTAAAATTACATTATAAAATTAATTACATTTTAAAATATAGTAATTGTTATAAAAAAAGTTGATATTGCAGGAATTCAAACTCATCGACGCAGTTACAAAAATTTAATGCGCTCAACTTAATTGCTAAATGTATTTAACATGTATTCCTGGGCAGACGCTCAATTTTAAAAATTTTTGTAAATTTTTCAGAAACTAAGGCCTATGTACTCAAATTCTTTTCCACAAACTTTATTCCCTTTCCTCTTCAAGTGAACTATGATTCATTTTTTTGACGGTTATTGTCATCTTTGTGTTAATAATTATTAATATAATAAATGTACATACAGGGTGTTCATTTTAAACTTTCCACTCGTTTATTTCATGATTGACTATTTTCTGCGAAAAATGCCAAGACGTTAATTTTGTTTTTGAGGGGGATATTTAAGTACATTAAATGAATATTTTACGAGAAATTGTATAGTTTATATAAAAATGTATGTGTTATATAAAATTGTATAATTTATAAAAATTACAAAATTATTTCAAATCTCATAACTCGAAAAGTATTTAACATATAAAATATTTTATTATAGTATTTTAGAAAGCTATCGAGAAATGAAAAATAGGGAGTTTCATTAAAAAAAATATTTCATAACTTCATATAACTTTAGCACCTTCACTCAAGGTTAAATATAATTCACTGTTAAATGTCCCCCTTTGAATACTACAATTTGTCTAAAACATTTTTTCATTTGATCACTTTCTGTGATGTTAATCGGAGTGCACAATTAAAATGGAACATCCTGTATATACTTCAAGTAAACACGCATGTAATCGTAAATTTCATTGATTTTGTCATATTTCTGTTGCAGGAAATACTGATTTATATAAACTATCCGATAATACCCTTTAATTGGGATTATGTGAAGATCATTTCTCTGACACATCATTCACAAAACGCAACAAAAGTACGATTGATAGGAGATGCTATATCAATTGCATATAATAACGCTGAATCATTCGTAAACGAACAAAATATTGAAGTGAAAGAAAGACATACAATAGTACTTTCTCCTAATAATGGAAACAAGATAGAAGAACAAGTACCTCAAGAGTGTACTCTGCGAACATACAGACCTGCAATTTTAAATTTTGAAATGTCTGCAGAGGAGGAAGACGTAATGGAATGAATGCATCTGGAGCCACCTATACATTAAAACATTAACAGCAAAGATAATAGTAAATCTAAAATATATAATAATAAAAAGAACAATCCCAAAATAATAAAAAGAGCATTGAGAATAGAAAATTTCAATTTACATCAAAAAATAAAACGCTTAAAATATCAGTTGCAATGTATGGCACAAAATTGTAAAAAATCAAACAAGAAAAAACAGAAAAAAAAAAATGCTACAGAATTTAATAAATGAACAAGAATTATATCCTGTGGCAAAAACAATGATAAATTTACAACTGCATATGCCACGTACATGATATACTGAAGAAGAGAAAATGCTTTCCAAGCAATTATATTATTATTCAGCCTCAGCATTTTGCCGTTTAAAGAAAGCAGGTTGTAATTTTCCTGGACAAAGAACAATTAGAAGAGATGGATAGAAGAATACAGTATAAAACCAGGATTTTGATATTATATTTAAAAAATTAAAAGAAAAAATTGCACAAATCTCTGAAAAACAAAGAGTGTATGCTTTAAAATGGGATGAGATGTCTATAAAAAGCTATGAAGAATATTCCTCAAAACTGGAGCAGGTGGAAGGTCTTGTTGATTTAGGATCTTTGGGCAGAAAAGCAGAAAGAACCAAATGTGTATTTTGCCTTGATAGTCTGAATGCACATCATCCATGACGACAACCATTGGCATATTTTTTAGAAGGCAAATGTATGAGATCACATGAAATAGTTTACTTAGTCATGTGTCTGGATAAATTGATTGAAACAGGTGCTGACATGAAACTAGTAACATGTGATCAAGATACAAATAATGAAGCCACTTATAGTCAACTAGGCGTTGATGTCCAAGAACCGTATTTCATGCACAATAATAAAAGATATCATGCTTCATATGATTTTCCGCATTTAGTAAAAAGACTAGCGAGTTTCCTTAGAATGCATGACAAGATATATTGCAAAGGAGAAATAATCGCATCATATTCTGATTTTGTAAAGACCTGTTGCAAAAACCTGGTGCGATAATGCGACAAAAGGAGGCTCAAATTTATTATCCCATTACACAAGCACACATTCGTCCGAATTATTTTGAAGCTATAAATGTGAAAAGAGCATTTCAATTATTTAGCATTTCAATTATACATTCGCAGCTGCAATTAAAATAGCTGGTGATGATAAAGAATTAGATTCAAGTATTTGGAAAGCAACAGCTGATTTTGCAGAGCATATGAACAACGCAATTGATGCTTGTAATTCATATAGTTTTAATGTCACACATTTGGTGAAAAGCGGCCATTGTCAAGAAAAAGTCCTGACATTGAAGATTTATTATCAAACTTTATG